TGTATTATTTATAGTATTATAATGTGAGTATACGAAATATATATACTCTTTACATGTTGTTTTATATATATATATATATATATATATATATATATATATATATATATATATATATATATATATATTATATATATTATATATATATCATATTCAACAGAGGGTGTGTCAGCAAGCAGCCAAACTTCATAATTTCTCTGAGTTAATACCTTGGATTGTTTAATCTGCATCGACCGTCTTTTAAGTCAGAATCACTTTACTATGCATAATATCATGCACTTTTAATAATTATATCTCAAAATAATTTACCATTGTGAAGTGTCGAGACGGAGGAGTTACTGTTGAGGCAGTCAAGAGATATGGAGCGGTTGTAAAAAAAAAAAACAAAGCTTTATCAGCAGCGACTGAGAAAAAGATAAGCTGTCATAGTAAGTAAGTAAGTAAGTAAGTAAGTAAGTAAGTAAGTAAGTAAGTAAGTAAGTAAGTAAGTAAGTAAGTAAGTAAGTAAGTAAATAAGTAAATAAGTTTACATTTAATATGGTTCATGGGCTACCACACTGTGAAGGAGAATCACGAACTGGACACTAAAAAATACAGGATACGAAGCAACTATAGGTATATCTATTTTAATTTAAATAGTGAACTTCTAAGCATTTTAAAGTTACACTCCTTCCCAAACATACTTGACTGTCCGTTCTTTGTATCATGACGTGAAAATGAATGACAGTTACATAGTGAAAACTTTAATTTACTACCTGGTCTTCAACTATAGTCTTTGCTGTTAAAATGGTTATAATTATAACCATAATTTTTAAAAAGGTGGACCGGTAAGCCAGCGGTATGCTTCAGTCAGATGACCAAAAGCTCCAACTACGGGTCATCATGTGACTAGGACCCGCATCAGGAAACACTTGTTCTGTTTCCTGACAAATATTATACCTACCTATAGTCTAACTATAGAATCACATGCATATGCAGACGACTGTACACTGACATTCACTTATCCAAGAGAAGAAATGCCAGCTGCTCTAAGCTACATCAATCACCAGCTGAGAGCTATATCAGCTTGGGGAAATAGATGGCAAGTAACATTTGCACCTGAGAAAACGCAAATGATGACCGTCTTTAGGCACCATGATGGTAATGCTGGTGCAGTAGTAAGGATGAATAGGAGGGTGTTGGCACCTGGAGAAGAAGTTGATATCCTTGGGGTGAAATTTGACTCCATACTAACCATGAAGAACCATGTTGTAAATCTTGCAAACAAGGCAGCCAGGAAGCTTACAGCACTTCGCCGTATCTCGCATCTGCTTGACAGTAGGGGTTGCAAGATTCTGTACGAGGCACAAGTACGCTCACACTTTGAGTATGCTCCACTTTCTTGGTTTGCCTGCCCCCCTCCCCTCTCATCTGCGACTGCTTGACAGGGTAGAGAACAGAGCAAGACGCCTCATCTCTCGCCTGGACCCATCCTGGATAGATATGTCATTTCAGCAGAGCCTTCAACATAGGAGGGATGTGGGTGGCCTTACTGTTATGTACAAGGCCAATATTGTCAAAGTACCACACTTGGATCCACTTCGAGGACAGCGTGAAACAAGCTTTTATGCCACAAGACGGGCAGAAAGCAGCAACTTCACTCTGGCTGTACTCTTTTCCAGAACTTCACTCCATCTGAGATCATATATACCCAGGATGACTCGAGTATGGAACACATTCGTACAGCATAATGATGTCAACGAGATAAAGTCAGTTAAGACACATGTGCAACATCTGGATATCTTTATTGTAGACGTTTCGCCATCCAGTGGCTTTATCAATACAGATTCTAGGACATAATAGGAAGACAGTAGAACTATATACAAAAGATGAGGTAATCAGTCCCTCGGCCTTGGAGTTAGTGTTCACAGCATCGTGGTGGAGGAGAATCTGGAGCAAAGGCAAGAAGACTGGCGTTTATATAAGCGTCAGTGGAAGGGACGGGCAGCAGACGAGGGCAGTCACTGGTAGGCGGGATTCCCCAGTGGAAGTAGGTCCTTCCCAAAGAGATGGGTTAGTTGCAGCAGCCGTGAAGAAGGTCTTGTAGATGTCCTCTGAACCAAGATTCCATGATGTTGCAGTGTCTGACAAGTTGGCAAGAAAGGTTAAATACCGACAATATGAAAGTTAAGACACATGTGCAACATCTGGATATCTTTATTGTAGACGTTTCGCCATCCAGTGGCTTTATCAATACAGATTCTAGGGCATAATAGGAAGACAGTAGAACTATATACAAAAGATGAGGTAATCAGTCCCTCGGCCTTGGAGTTAGTTTCACAGCATCGTGGTGGAGGAGAATCTGGAGCAAAGGCAAGAAGACTGGCGTTTATATAAGCGTCAGTGGAAGGGACAGGCAGCAGACGAGGGCAGTCACTGGTAGGCGGGATTCCCCAGTGGAAGTAGGTCCTTCCCAAAGAGATGGGTTAGTTGCAGCAGCCGTGAAGAAGGTCTTGTAGATGTCCTCTAAACCAAGATTCCATGATGTTGCAGTGTCTGACAAGTTGTGCAAGAAAGGTATAAAATACCGACAATATGAAAGTTAAGACACATGTGCAACATCTGGATATCTTTATTGTAGACGTTTCGCCATCCAGTGGCTTTATCAATACAGATTCTAGGACATAATAGGAAGACAGTAGAACTATATACAAAAGATGAGGTAATCAGTCCCTCGGCCTTGGAGTTAGTGTTCACAGCATCGTGGTGGAGGAGAATCTGGAGCAAAGGCAAGAAGACTGGCGTTTATATAAGCGTCAGTGGAAGGGACGGGCAGCAGACGAGGGCAGTCACTGGTAGGCGGGATTCCCCAGTGGAAGTAGGTCCTTCCCAAAGAGATGGGTTAGTTGCAGCAGCCAGATGTTGCACATGTGTCTTAACTTTCATATTGTCGGTATTTTATACCTTTCTTGCACAACTTGTCAGACACTGCAACATCATGGAATCTTGGTTCAGAGGACATCTACAAGACCTTCTTCACGGCTGCTGCAACTAACCCATCTCTTTGGGAAGGACCTACTTCCACTGGGGAATCCCGCCTACCAGTGACTGCCCTCGTCTGCTGCCCGTCCCTTCCACTGACGCTTATATAAACGCCAGTCTTCTTGCCTTTGCTCCAGATTCTCCTCCACCACGATGCTGTGAACACTAACTCCAAGGCCGAGGGACTGATTACCTCATCTTTTGTATATAGTTCTACTGTCTTCCTATTATGTCCTAGAATCTGTATTGATAAAGCCACTGGATGGCGAAACGTCTACAATAAAGATATCCAGATGTTGCACATGTGTCTTAACTTTCATATTGTCGGTATTTTATACCTTTCTTGCACATAAAGTCAGTTGATCAAATGAAAATGCTGGCCCACAGATGGCTCCAACTTCATCCTGTTCCCTACTTGTATGTCTCATAACAATAAAAATGCTTTCAAATGAGCTGATGTAGGTAACAGCTCTTAGCTTGCCAATAAAGTTAGGAATCCTTAACCTGTAAATAGCTGTCAATGAAGCTAGGGATCCTTAACCTTGTCAAACCCTGTGTAAAAAAAAAAAAAAAAAAAAAAAGCCAGCAGAAGAGAAACACTGTCCTGTTTCCTGACGAATCTTATCTAACCTACGCTAATCTAACCTATAGTCTAAGATTATACTTTTATATATTTAAATTTTTTTAATAATGTTAGTGCTGCTTTCAATAGTATTTTGTCCCCAGTAAGTAATTATTCACTGATGAAACAAGTACAGTAGTAGCCTATTATTGCCATTACTTCTGCTTGTACTTTCCCCTCCCTTCAAGGAATGTTCCTTGACGTTGGTGAGGGGCTCTTGATCTAGGGAATTGGATCTGTGCTCCAGTTCCCTCAATTAAGCCTGAAAACCTTCCACACCCCCCACAGGCACTGCGTAATCCTACGGGTTTAGCTCTCCCCCTTGATTATAATAATAATAATAATTGTACTTTCCCTTCTCTCATCACCGCTACTACGCTTTCCACTACTGTTCTGTCACTGTGATAACTGAAATACTAATATTTCGAGGCATATCCTTAGTATTATAGTATATTCCCAAATAGTCAATATATTTAGCATTTAATAACTATATATATGCTTGTCCCCTCAAGGGAGGTTCCTTGATGCCGATGAGGGGCTCTTAATCCAAGGGATTGAGTCTGTCCTCCCCTTCCTTGAACTGAATCTGATTGCCTTCACATTCTCCCACTGGCTGTATGATCATTACGGTCATGCAGCCCATTTGAAGATGTTAATTATTTCTCAGTATACAGTATTGAAACTGAAAAGAATGAATGATAATCACATGACAGCAATGATAGCTGTTAGATTCTTTCAATTAAACTTAGTGAATTCCTTCTTCCAGTGCTAGACTCTCAGACCGCACCACCTGTCTTGTAACCTGCCCACGTACAATCACAATTTAGATTTTTATAAACAAACAGATCTTTAATTTTGATAATTATAAAAGAAAATCAAATCGTATTGCTTTGATTCCAAATTTCGACTGTTGTTAACTAAGGGAAATTTAATTTCAGCTCTACAACCCGCCTAAAATCTGGCAGTCTGAACAAAAGGCGTGGAAACCACACCGTTCGTGGGAAAATTCTTATGTAGGGAAATGAACCTGTTAGAAATATAGTGAAATGACCTTTGAAGGAATAATGTTAATAATTATACTTATTATAGTTTTTATTACGTCCTTAATGAAAGGGAGGTGCCATGAAGCCGGTAAAGATTCTTGATCCGGGCACTTCTATTAATTAATACCCATTAAGGGATGTTCCTTGATGCTGCGAGAGGTTCTTGATCTAAGGAACTGGACCTGTGCTCAAATACCTTGAACAGAGTATGACCCTGCGGGTTTAGCACTCCCCATGGCTAATAATATAAATTAATAATTTTATTACAAGCTGGTTTTCATAATGTAAAATTTACATTATTGTTTGTAACATTTGCAGGAGTTTATCTGGCTGAGTAGCTTAGTCCTCGTTTCCTGATCATAGGAGTTACACGGCCAAACTATGGGTCTCAACGTCAACAAGACTCTGCTTCCCATTAAAATAGCCTATTTCCTCAAATATGGAGGTAAGTGTGGTGAAGAATTTATCGTAGATATACTTAAGTTTTTTAGATTAGATAAAATATTGATCACTCATGGATCAGATACAGTAATGATGATTGGGCGTGGATCAATGTAGACCGGACGTGGACCAGATAGAATTTAGACGTCGTGGACCAGATATAACTTAAATTGGACTTAGATCAAATAGAATATTTCTTGAGTGTGGATTAGAATTTTGTTTGGACGTGTATGATAGGGAATGTGCTTGTAGGATAAATAATATATCATTGAATGCTGATGTGGCGTAGATGGGGTAGCAGGAGAGGATACTAATATTTGGGTCAGAAAAGCTATTGGTGTGGTTTATATTAAGAAGACTTAACGATATGACTTTACAGGCTAAGTGCTGTTATCCTACCTCAGCTCATTTCAAAGCTAACACCCAGGTACCTGTTTTCTGCTATGTAAACAGGAGCGAAACCTAAGTCTTCGGTTGTGATTCGAAGGTGTTGTCGCTGAGCAGCTGGGCACTTTAAAATTCTACAACTTTATTTCGATGGAGAGGACGTTTTATTTTTATATATTTAGTATAAGTTTTAATTCCCACGTCATAGTGTCATACTAGTGCGACTAAGGAGTAATCTCTTCCACAGGGATCGCATTTTTTCCCTTCTTGCCAGTAGTGCTACGTAACAAGGGCGTATCAGCCACAGGTGTGGGACTTATCTGGGCAGTGACACCCATGGCCAGCTTTGCCAATAATTTGGTGGTGGGCATGATAGCCGACGGCTTTAGGATCCATCGTGCCTTGTTCTTGTCCGGGATGGTCATCCTCAGCTGCTCCTTCGTCTCAGTGTTCTTGCTGCCGCCTGTACCCAGGCCTCCAGGGACTCCATCAGACGCCTCAGTTTCCCTCCAGTGTGGTGATAATAGTAGCCTGGCCGTGTGTTACAGCCAGTCTCAGGCTTTCAACACCTCTGCTCTAATCTCGGTACAGCAATGTAATTTTGGCAATGAACCTACTCAAAATGCTACAGTAGATAACAATAAGTTAGACTGTACTCTTCATTGTAGTGTAATACAAGATCAAAGCATTTCTACTGTCAACGATAATGATGATTTTGAAGCACCGCCTGAATTTAGTTTTCATTTTGGTAAGGAAATTCTTATACTTTTTGCGGTGAAGGAAACTGTATCTTCATCAATCAAACAAACAGTACACCTTCATTTACATGGCCTTACAACACTTGTGGCCAGGAGTACCAGTCTGTATGTCAGTACCAGTGTCACTCTGAAAGCAGCGACATCACCCTTGGGGATATGCTTCACACTAATGAATTTTGGCTATATTTCATCTGTTTAATATTTTTGTATGGCAGCACTTCCTGCACTACTACCTTGTGCGACACAGTGTGTTTTTTCCTATTGGGTAAAGAACGGTATAAATACGGTCGGCAGCGGATGTGGGGCAGCGTAGCCTTTGCTATGGTGGGCATGGCCAGTGGTGCCCTCGTCAACTTCTTCTCCCGAGGTCAGCCACAGGTCAACTACATGCCGGCTTTGATACTGTCAGGCACTTTCCTCGTCTTCAATCTCATAGCCTCGTCAAGGATCAAGTTTAACTTGCCCCAGAAGGAGAAGCTCGAGGCAAAAAATGTTGGTCGCGTCCTCTGCTCCTCCAGAATGCTCATCTTCCTGGTAGGTGACGGAACCCATGTATATAATACTCTCTTATTTCTGTGTAGTCTGCCTTATGTGTGAGTGACATGGTGCATGACTTAGTACATAATTTGTGGTCGGAAGAGTGGTAAACGCTTTTCCGACCACAAATTACGCGGTAACCAGTTTAATGTATGTGGATAAAGTCCTATTTCAGAGCAAAAGAAATAGCCTATAATCTAAATAGGCAGAATATAAATCATACTTGATGCGAAAAGACTGAAGTTTTGATTAACAAAAAATCTAAGGCCAGGACAGCAGGTAATAGATATTCGCAGTACAGCTAATATTTTTCTTCGATTCATAAAATAAATGAGTATAAACAACTGAGGTCTTAAGGTTATACTACAAGTATATATCGTTTGACATCAAATGAATAGAATATATATAAAAAATGTATGACAAGGTTAACCCCTTACACTCTCTTAAAGCCATATATTGAAGGGAAAATATGACTGAGGTGAATGATGTATCGTTGCGGCACAAATACAAATAAATAGAACAAACTTTCAAGGAGTGTCACTTAAGCATATATTTTGAGTAGATATAAAAATGTGTCTGGCAGATACAGAAATGAGAATGGTTAGGTGTGAGTAGGGTTAGAAGGCCCAATGAAATACCATTTTTTTCTTTTCTTATATTAGAATTTTCAGTTAGTACAAAAGGGCATACGACAATTATTTGACACTACTTCAATATAACAGCTTACAGTTTTGGTGACGGGCTTGATATCGGGAGTTGTGATGACGTTTATGTTCATTGTGGTTGAAGACGTGGCCACAGCCTGGGACCCCGACTTTCCATACATGAAGCTGCTCCTGGGCATCATTCACGGGGTCAGCGTCTTTCTGGGAGAAGTTCCCTTTATGTTTCTCTCGTGTAAGCACAACTCCATGGTGGTAAGGAGTGATCCACGTTTTCCTTCCGTTTAATGAAATACAGTGGAATATCACAGTAAAGATGTAACTTATATTATAAATTAAAATTAGTAGTTAATGAACGTGATAGATTGTACTAGTGCTTGATACAGTTTTCGGAGCACCTGGTTTGCAGCAAACTAGTTCTTACAACGGTTCCTTTCTCAAGAGTACTGGCTAATACAAGACATTTAGAACAGAGCAGAGCAGAGCAGGCTTTCATTAAGACAATGTTCAGCTCAAGGGGAACTAGTAACCTTCCCTTGAGCGAAAAAACAAAACAAAAACAGGCTTGCCCATATAAAAGTTTCTTTGTATTATTCGTATTTATCGGCGCTCTGCCTTCCAACCACCGAAAAGTACTGTTTCAGGTTATTTTTTTTTTTTTTTTTTTTTTTTTATACACAGCAACTGTCATCAAGAGACTGGGTAACATCCCAACTTTTGCGGTGTCACTGGCAAGCTACAGTATTCGATTCTTCGTCTTCTCCTTCATTATCAACCCATGGCTCTTCATCGTTACCAGTCTCCTCCATGGACTATCCTTCGGCCTCTTCTACCCTAACATGTCCGCCTATGCCAGTTTAATGTCACCAAAAGGTGCCCAGGCTGTGATGCAAGGCATTGTCAAGTCCGCTTTCATTGGAGGTAAGTCGGGATACATAATTATGTTTATTTTTTCGTTAGGTTGTTTATGCAGTGGAACTATTAGTTATTAAAAAAAGACGATGTTCTTTATCCTGGACATGCGTGCAATAGAACATAGTGCTGTAAAAAAAATGAAATTTTGATGCGCAAGTGAAGTGGATAAAATTGAATCATGTGTGCCAGACTCTTAACAGTTTGTTTCAAGACTATCTTGCTTCAAAATCTAAAAGAGTTAGGGATCAAACTCGTAATGTTACTAGAGAAACTGATTACAGATGTACAAAGCCCAGTGTATGCGGCCAGGCATCTACCTTATCTATTAAAATTAATTAGCTAATCATCACATTGCTAGTAAATTAATACCTACAGAATGAAACTACAATAAGGGAGGAAAATGACTGGGTGGCACGTAGCCTAGAACTTGGCTCGTGGCCTGATTGGCAAAACTCTCGCGTCACACGCTGAGGGGGTCCGGGTTCGATTCCCGGCAATGGTGGAAACACTGGGCGTGTTTCCTTACACCTGTTGTCTCTGTTCACCAATCAGTAAAATGGGTACCTGGGTGTTAGTCGACTGATGTGGGTCGCATCTTGGGACAAAAATGGACCTAATTTGGCGAAAATGCTATGCATAACAAGGGGTTATCTATACAGTAGTATGTCACTGATGTCAGCTAGGCTTGTATACCTTGTACATGTACTTGTAGAAATAATATTATTATTATTATTATTATTATTATTATTATTATTATTATTATTATTATTATTATTATTATTATTATTATTATTATTATTATTATGTTGAGTTACGAGCAGTCACTGTGCAATGATGAAATTGCCCTATTTATAGCAAGATTAAATATGTTTGGGACTTTATATACAGGATGTCCAACCCACTTTTGAAGCCACGCAAAGAATTCGCATCATTGGCAACTTTGCGGTTCATTCAACTCATCCACAAATATGGTCAAATTAGTGCTTTCCAATATACTGACATATAAGTTGTATAAGCTTGGAATTTCTGTTATTTGTACTTGTTGATATAAATCAAGCAGTTTTGAGCACTTTTGCACTGTTATATATGCTTCAGATTTATCCTAACTAGTATTCTTGATTCCATGCCCCCTACAGTATGATTTAATTTTAGATTATTTAGCTTGAAGGTGCCGCTGTTATATTTCTATGTTATATTTCCGTATTTGTCACTTTTCCAGCATTAAATCATCTAAATCATTCTGAAGCTCACTGGTGTTCTCAGCACTTATTCGATGAATTCAGAAGCGTCGCTAGAGTTGGTGTCACCCGGGGCGGAATCTCTGGTGTCACCCCCATGAAATTCAAAGGCGGGGGAATGGGGGGAGGTAAACTCTATTTATGTCACTACTGCATGACCATTGACAAATGTTTAACAATGAGAACGTTTAAGGGACATAAGTTGAACAGGAGAATACTTCTCAACTTTATTAATGATAAAATAAATAATCGTAGTAATATTGAGGAAACATAAACTCACATATCACTTTGAGTACAGCCAACACATCCTACATTTATTCATCTTCAACTAATGCCAAAACCAAAAAAAAAAAAAACTTGAAAAATAAAGAAAAACATTGCAATATCAGAGAAACACTAGTTCAGATTTGAATTTGAGTACAGGTAACATCTCAGTGAATCTGATCTTACATTTCCTTCCTTCAGTTATGCAAAATCATCTATCAAATAATCAAAATCGATGATTTTTCCCTATATAGGCTTATTTGTACTTTGTTAATATGCAATAGGCTATATAGAAACGAAGGATTCTTCTCTTATGTCGGTGCAGCACTGTTTTGGGCATTAGTGTCACCTTCTTTAGAGGCTCTGTAGTGTCACCCCCTAAATGGTGTCACCCGGGGCGGCCCGCCCCCCTTACGACGCCTCTGGATGAATTGTTTTTGTGTATTCAACGAATTTGTTTTTGGCGTTATTTTCCCTGTATATAAGTAGTGTAGTTCGTGAGCAACTAAGGGCTCAACACTGATCTGTGGAACGCCATTTATGGCCGGTCCCTTACTTATTTATAATCCACTTCTATGTTCTCACACTTTCTTCATCAGTCTAATGTGTAGAGCTCCATCAAAAGCTTTACTGTTGACATAAACAACATTGTGTTATGCAGGAACATGCTTGGGAGGGGTGGTGGGAGGTGTGCTACTGAAGACGGTGGGTGGCTCGATGGGTTTTCGTTACATTAGTCTTCTTGCTGGCACCTACGCTGTCTTCTTCGTCATCGCTCAGCTCCTCATCCACAAACTCTGCTCAAAACACACTCCAGGTAAAGTCAACTTTTTTTTATACTGAACTAACTCGATTTACATAACCATACTTTTTAAAGGGGTGGACCGGTAAGCCAGCGGAAGGCCTCGGTCAGATGACCAAAAGCTCCAAAGGCGGATCATCATCTGACTAAGACCTGCGTCAGGAAACATTTGTCGTGTTTCCTGACCTAACCTAACCTAACCTAACTGAACTAACTTTTACAACACATTATTTCACTAAAAGTTACATTACTTAGCTATGTTCCGATACTTAGTATATGAAAAGTAAGAAACAACTTGGACAGAAAAATGAAACCCAAGTAAAGAGGGTCAGAGGTTCTCTTCAGCAGGTCTCTGATTGAAACCAAAATATACATATCTGTTCCTGCTTTTGACCAAGCAGTTTCTCACTTTTTATCGATCAGTGTTTATGGCACTTTTAAGCTATAATATCGAGAAATTAATGTTTAAAATCTAAAGTAGTTTCGGGATTCGATTTGGAGTCTGGAAAATTTTCAGCCCCGCGTGGGTTCGAATCCTACAAATATTCTTGAAAACTCGATCATTATTATACTTAAAGCAATAATATAGATTTTAATTACTGTGTAATGCAACGGATTTCTTATGAAATCAGAATGATAAAATTATTATATATATATATATATATTATATATATATATATATATATATTATATATATATATATTATATATATATATATATATATATATATATATATATATATATATATATATATATATATATATATATATATATATATATATATATATATTATGTTATTTTCATATAGTCGGACTTGAGTCCTGGAAATGGGAAGTACAATGCCTGCACTTTATAGGAGGGGTTTGGGATATTGGCAGTTTGAGAGGGATATGTTGTGTATCTTTATACGTATATGCTTCTAAACTGTTGTATTCTGAGCACCTCTGCAAAAACAGTGATAGTGTGTGAGTGTGGTGAAAGTGTTGAATGATGATGAAAGTATTTTCTTTTTGGGATTTTTTCTTTTTTGGGCCACCCTGCCTCGGTGGGAGACGGCCGACTTGTTGAATATTTATTATATATATTATATATATATATATATATATATATTATATATATATTATATATATATATATATTATATAATATATTAATATATAATATATATATATATATACACATACCATACATATATACACATACGTACATATATATTTTTTGTGCGTTCTGGGATGTCTGACCTTGGCAGAGGACGACCGTGGAGAGTACTCAGCCCCGGGCTCTGGAGAGGTAACCCAAATTGACCTGGACGCAACTGTTCTAGCCTCCGTCACAGATGACAGTATATATTCTTCTAGCCTTCAGATTGCCTGACCATCCATGGAGACTGCCCTTGAGTACCATAAAGACTGAGTAGAGCAAGCCTTTGTGTCTAAGCGTCTGTTATTCTTTTTGTCGGCACTCTGCTCTCCAACTACGAGATTGTCAGTTTTACTGTCAGTTTCCCTCATATTGAGGGGTGCCACGCCTTTGGTGTATCCATCAGATTTCTCTTCTGTTACATAAGAAAGAATGAACACTGCAGCAGACCTAGTGGCCCATGCGAGGCAGGTCCATGCCACCCCCCGGCTTAGACCAATGACCCACCCAGTCAGGTCATATCCACTTAAGGAAGGAGCACGGCATCAGACCTAGTAGCACAAGCTAGTCAGGTCCAACTCACACCCACTCAATATTTATCTAACCTATTTTTAAAACTTCACAACGTTTTAGCTTCTGTGACGGTACTCGGGAGTTTGTTCCACTCACCCATAATTTTATTACCAAACCAGTGCTTTCCTATATCCTTCCTGAATCTGAATTTATCCAACTTGAAACCATTGCCGCGAGTCCTGTCTTCGCTAGATATTTTCAGCACGCCATTTACATCCCCTTTATTTATTCCTGTTTTCCATTTATGCAGCTGATGCTGTCTGTTGACATGTACATATATTGATAAGTTTATTATTGGTCTGTAACACGTTCCTGATTATTTTTTCTGCAGTTTGTAATTGGTAAATAAAATTACCGAATCTAAAACAAATTACAACAAACTTACAAATAGAAATGGACATTTTACATTCCGTTCATCCTGGCCCATTTGTGACTCCTAATTGTATTGAGCATTCAGCTATGAGGATAACAAAAATATATCTAACAGTTTAAACACGATTGTGGCATTACCAGGTAGCGCTAGTTGAACACATAAATGTGTAAACAGTTCTCATTTGCTACTTGTATGTGAAACCTTAGTATAATTTCCCGTAGATTTATAAATAATTCCCAATTTTTTTTTTAATTAGCCATACCCCTTAGTGGAGGTTGTTTGATGACGATGAGGAGGCTCTTGATCCCAAAAAAACCGGATCTGCCCTTCCCTTTCCTTCGATCGAACCTGAATGCCTCGCATTTCCACAGGCCCATTATGACCCCTCCGGGTTGTACTTCAGTAACAACTGGGAATCTTGAGTATGTATCGACAGTAACTTTAAGTAAGGCTGAAATGTCAGATGGGGATATTTGTATAGAAATGTCTTTTTTCGTCATTTAGGAATACAATACCATAAATTAACACACAACAAAGTATTTCTGCATTGTGTCTTATTCATCAAGATGACATTATACATCTTGAATCACAGGATATATACACCGGGAGGTGTATTTTTCTCAGCGTATAATGTATATATTGAGAGCGTACTTTAATCCCTACTTTAGAGTATTAAAGTTTTCTTGTCTGTGGTGAAAAAAATGAAATGTGCAGCCTAGTGTAGGCGATAGTCTTTAAACACAATTAACCAACCACTGATCTAAAGATTTTTGCCACACCTTCAATGCAAGGTACGAAATACAATTTGTAAGAATAATACAGTGGGAAATAAATAAACAATAGACCACTCACCGTTAGCTACGAAATTTAATACTGATGGAGGTGAGGAGGTCCAGGCAGGAGAACATGAAGATGGGAGTGAAGACTAACAAAACTAACTCGTGTCTTGTTTTTAATGGATAGAAACCTTTTTTATACAAATGGTACTGAAGATTACTTATTGACTAAGTGCGCCGAAATTCAGGTTTGAGAATCTCAAGGTCTTTGGGAGACCCTTGAACAACACGTCTGGAAGCAAACTCACTTGCAGATTAACTTAAAAGTTTTATCAACATTTAACTTGCTTTGCTTTACAAACAATAAAAGGTGTGCCCAATATATAAATTAATAAATGGCGTATTCGTGAGCTAATATTGACGCTGTATGAACGCTATGGGTTTAGCGCTTCCCAATAAACGTAATAATTCACACTGACTAAGCTTGCTTGCTCATATTTCCCATATTTTTTATTGATAAATCAGCATACATTCGTGAATTTAGACGCAAGACTTGCCTGGATAAATTTATACTGCAAATATTACAAAATGTAAATTCAATCCACATTATTATTATTATAATCAAAAAGAAATTCGATCCACAAAATGGCAAAAAAATGAAGACGATGCTCTCCTCGAGCAAGTGCCAAAATTTGAAGAAACAAAATCAATGTAAATGAGGCCACTAAGACACAATTTAACATATCTGTTTACTGAGTGTTGTGGTCCAGCCTCACGTGTGCTCCCGGGCAACCGTCCAAAAATCCTCTCGTTCCAATATACGTATTTCCTCCTTCAGTCTATATGTGGGGGGGGGGATGCCTTTGAAGAGCTCTTGATCCAAGGAATCAGAGCTATCTTCTGAAGAGCTCTTGGCCCAAGGAATGGGAACTATCCCTCTGGATTCAGAGCTGTATGACCGTTTCGGGTCTAGCGCTTGAATTAATTATAATAACATCCTCTGTAATATTTTATTACCTCCCATTCCCCATGCGCTATGTGAATTATTATTACGTGAGCAAATTACCTACATGAGGTTTACAGGGTATTACCTGAATTATTACGTGCAAGTAATTTGGGCGAGGTAAATGGGACTTAGTCACAGCAGGTCGTAGAACTGTCACTCCCTCGATGCCCACTCCCTACTCTCACAAAAAGCTAGACCTGAATTAAATTAATAATTACAATATTAAAACCAGTTACTCTGGTAGATTAAAATTGTGTGGACTGTATGTTTTAGTTTACTTGCTGGGTACACAAAATATAACTATTAGTAAAATACATATAATACAATGGTGTTATTAGAAAAGAAATTCGTATTACCACTTACCATTTAATTACTGGATCATAATTATTGATTTTTGGAAACACACCCTAACGCTACCACAACAGCTGAATTTACGAAGGCCAACGCAAAACGACTGTACATTATGGGCAAGCATCACTTAGCTAAGGTGTGCTCCTGGGAAGAATCGGTGTCCTTTATTTTTTCCGTTCTTGTGGCCGAATTGTTAGAATTTTTAAATTCATCAGTTTGAGCCGATATACACCAATGAACTTGATGACGCCTGATACATTGCAGATTTCACGACAATATGCTCGAAATTACAAAGGCGTCCCCCTCCTCCCCTCGAAATTTCTCGAAGGGTCAAATCAGCATCACATTTAATACACAATTATTACATTATTCAAATTAATACATGCTGAATTTAGGAAAATTCAAAATTTTCCACAAGCTATATGACCTCTGTGGTTTTAGCATTTCCCATTAATAAAATCATTATCCAATATAGTTTAGATTGTACAGAATCATTATTAAATATATTTCAACAAAGGTACCTGTATGAAAATATTTTTTTATGGTTAGAATTTTTTTAGGGGAAAAACCAGAGATATATATTTGTTTAGCTTTGATACAGACCTTAAAATAGGAAGCTGTTAAAATAAATATGTTGTTTGTGGTTTAGAACGTTTGTGTGTATTTGTGTGTTAGGCGGCGAGGCTGGCCAAGAATGTGCAGCAGGTGGCCAGGAAGGTACCTCCAGGGCGAGAAACAATGTGTAGGTTACGTTGCACTCCTGTCCTGCCCACCCACCACCACCGCCCACACCCATCTACGACTACTACTACACATTTCCAAGCTCACCCAACTCCTAGGCCCACTCACTACCACCACTCTATACCCATCACCGCAAATGCCCAGGTCGACATGACAAACGCTCATGCTCGCACATCACCACAAATGCCCAGCTCGCACATCACTAATTCACACCAACAAAAACCTAGCACACTACGCAGCAACACCATTAACCACAACCATCATACATGCGCAAACCTTGATTAGTAAATTTAACTACATACCTTCTCTACTACTACTACTCTTCTCTCATCTACTACTCCCCCTACCTACATACACTATCTCTCTCTCACTCTCTCTCTCTCACCTCACTCTCTCACTCTCTCCTCTCATCCTCTCTCTCTCCTCTCTCTCTCTTCTCTATCTCTCTTCTCTCTCTCTCTCTCTCTCTCTCTCTCTTTTCTCTCTCTCTCTCTCTCTCTCTCTCTCTCTCACTCTCTCTCTCTCTCTCCTCTCTCTCTCTTTTCTCCCGTCCCTGACCTCTTGTATATAGTATATATATATACACTGGCTCCCTAACCTTCGTGTGTTAATGTGACTAATTCATGGTCCAAGTCGGACCGAAACGTCGTCATAATTCCATTCTCCTATGTGCGGGTTATTTGTGTATTGTTCCAGTCATGGTATTGTGCCTTTTTGTTTTGTCTACAAATATTGGATCACAGACATCATAATCGGTACGAGTATTTCACAAAGCACAGTTATATATATAAATATTATGCACTGAGGCTATAGAGTATGATATAACAGAGGTTAGGGGTGTGTTCTGCATGTAAAAACACCAGGTTACTGCTGCCAGCATCACGTGCCAACATCCTCATCAATAAACATTACGTCAAACTCCTGTTGTCTCTCCCTTCCTATATTTATGTCTGCTTCCTTCCTTCATATTTATTTAAAACTTGTTTAAGGATAGCATATTACAGTGCAATGCGTTTATAACAACTGCAAATTCAAGCATTATTTATCAAGATAGCTAAAGATTTCTAAGATATCCCACATAGCATAAATATACTAGGATATCACACTCCAGTAAGTTTGTGAAAAATTTTGACTCCATTTGTAAGATCAGCTTCTGGGCTATTTGAGTGATATATGTACATTGGCAGCCTACCATCCCAGGGTTAATTAGTTTTCAAGTCCACTTTCGTGCCTGTCAGTCATATTGATTAACCTTTATTGCAATAGTTATTTTATATCAACGTACGCCAATTAAAATTCCCGCAAAAAAACAGCGTAGTTTCTTAGTTGCCAAATTTATGTAAGTAATTTAAGTAAATAACCCTCACATAGAAGACAAACTTATGACGACCTTTCGATCTGACTCGAACCGGACTGAAAAGTCGTCATAACTTTGTCTCATATGTGCGGTTATTTGTGTATTCCAGCTATGGTACTGTGCCTCTTATTTTTTAAATAAATGTAATCCCTAAGTAATCTGAATTGCATTTTCATGTTCGTGTGTTTTTTTTTGTTATTAACTATTTTAAATCAATTTTCATTGTGTTACTTTAATGGCATGATTGTGAAAATTAATCGCTAACACATTACGTTGCTGGCCGAGGTGTTAGCCAGGGGTGGCAACTTGCATTTGTTTGTTTTAGATTTATATTTTGTTCCCCGCAAAACACAAAGACGTGAATACATCTTAACATTGTATTTATCTTTAAAGATAACTATGGGATTATGACTAAATGGTTATAACTATGACTACAATTTTTAAAGGGGTAGACCGGTAAGCCAGCGGAAGGCCTCGGTCAGATGACCAGAAGCTCCAACGGCGAGTCATCATCTAAAACCCGCGTCAGGAAACACTTGTCCTGTTTTCTGACGAACCTTACCTAACGTATGGGATTATGAGTCGGACATGGTGTAATAAATAGATAATTTTGGTGAGAAGTGAATGTAAATTAGTGGTTAATAAGGCAGTTTTGTAATTCATTCAGATCGTTCTTATATCCTTAACAGTAGCCAATAAACTTTAGAGTATTAGTACTTATATTTTCCAAAAAGTACATGAAATGGTTTAAAGACGATAATTTAGAATATATCATTATTTCTAAAGACGTTTCAACGCATTACTCCCCAGTTAGGTATATACAACCATACCTGGAAGAACTACTGTAGCAGGGAAGAGTCCAGCTGGAAGAATAAAGTTTTCCAGAACTTCCCAGCTTTTAACTCCCGTATATCCGCTGTCAGCAGACTCGTACCTCCCTAGCGTCCACTTATTCTATTATCTATTATGCTAATAGCTGCACAAACCCATCTGTTAGCAGTTATTAGACGCACCCAAATCAAACAACTTTTAAGTTGTAATCCTTAACCCTTTCATTATGAATTATTTTTTTTATATAATTACAGCAGGAAGTGAATTCCGTGTTTATTGTGATTCTCAGTGATTAAGATTAATGCTGGTCTCTGCTTTAAACTTCTCTAAATATGATCTTTTAAGTTATTCTTTTATTCAACTTCCTTACCAGTAACTTCTATGTACATTTTTGACACTTTTTTTATGCAAATTCCTCTTACTAGTATAATTTATTAAGGTTCCTGAGGAGAGTGGCTTTCATCTTGTACTCCTTGGTTTAAGGTAAGCATTGGTTTCTGTGGATCATATTTCACCAGATAAATTGGAGTACATGTGACCTAGTTTTGATGAAAATAAATTTAGTATTTACAGTCCTCTATTCTAAACAATCTATAATTAGTAATAATCTATATTTTCAACTTAAACATTCACAAATTTATTACTTAGATTCAAGTTATCTCCTTCAATTAATTAGTGACACTTCTCTGTCTTACACTGACAGGTTCTCCATAAAATTACTAGTACCAGTTCTAGACAGTCTTCTTAAAGCTTAATCTGTAGCTTAAACTTAAAGTGGCCTTATAGACCCTCAACAAGAAGACTATGTCTATAGCTGGTACTAGTAATTTTATGAAGGACCAGTCAGTTTGAGACAGGAAAGTGACATCATTTAATTAAATGTGAACTTGAATCTAATAAATTTATGAATGTTTAAATTGAGAATAGGGGTCACTACTAATTATGGATTGGTTATAATGGAGGATTATAAATACTAAATTTAAGCCCGTCTAGGCATAAGCTAGAGCAGTTAGGTTAGGTTAGGTAAGGTTCGTCAGGAAACAGGGCAAGTGTTTCCTGACGCGGGTCTTAATCATATGATGACCCTCTACCGGAGCTTTTGGTCATGTGACCAAGGACTTCTGCTGGCTTAGGTCCATCCCTTTAAAAATTAAGACAAATAGGATGATTAAATTAGAGCAGTTATTCCCAAACTACAGTGCGCAACCCTGACCTTTGGGGGTGCTCGAGAATAATTTTTTTTTTTCTTAATGAGATGTCAAACATATTCGATAAAATTTTAGTTTAGAGCATTTTCATGTGGAGAACGAAGGTAATGGATGTGTACGAAGGTAATGGAGGTGTAAACACATTAAGTTTCAGTGGCAGGTGAAGCTGTATAGACCTTGTGGCTTAGCGCTTCTTTTTGATTATAATAATAATAGTGGCAGGTGATGGGGAGGGGGGTGCGAGGACTCGATCATATTTTGGAAAGGGGTACGTGGTCTTTAGAGTGTGGGAACCCTCAGGTCTACAGCAGCAACTGTCTATTCAGCACTTGTGGAAGTCTGTGAGCCTAGTCCTCTGGAACTGTAACTTGAAGAGTGGGTGAAGATCAAGAGCCCAGAATCTCCCATACTAGCAGTAAATTTTAATTTGCTGAAAAATGAGATGGTAAATGGAAAATCTAGTCCATTTCGTTCATAATATTGAAGGCCACGAAGCCTCACTAATGATAATAATAACAAGGGCGTGGAGGTGCACCATCTGGTGGAACTAGGCAAGCATCAATCGCCTGACCTGGGCAGCCACCGTGGCCAGCAGAATGCGTAGGGTTGCCAAAATGCCCTTGGATGGTCGCCAGGTCTGGTAGCGTTGTCGTGGTACCAAGATGTCCGCCGATGGTCGCCAGATTGTGGTAGCATTGTGGTGGAGCCAGAGTGTCCTTGGATGGTCGCCAGGGGCTGGTAGTTATGTTGTTGGAAACAATACACAAATGCCATTCATAAATGAGGTTTGTGTACTCTTGCAATATAATAACACGCCACTGGAAGCGCTTACTAATATTCAGAAATACATGTATATGGCAAAAGTGTTAAAATAATTAATCCTTGAATTAATATTATTCTTGAAGATTCTTGTTTCATTTATTTTGTTCCTGAAATAACTGTGTAAATTAAAACGAAAAGTGGGATTGTTAGTCTTTACTAATTATCATTATTTATAATATTTTTTTATTAACGCATCGGCCGTTTCCCACTAAGGCAGGGTGGCCCGAAAAAGAAAAACTTTC